GCTTTTGTTTCCCTTGCCTCCAGGGACATGTCTAGCAAAAAGTTGTTATGGCTAATGTCAGAGTGGTTGCTGCCTATGTTCTCTGCTAGGATTATAATGTTTTCCTGTCTCACATTTAGGTCTTTCATCCATTTTGAATTTATTTTGGTGTGTGGTGTAAGAAAGTGGTCCATTTTCATTCTTCTGTTTGTTGCTGTCAAGTTTTCCCAATACTATTTGTTGAAAAGGCTGTCTGTTTTTCCATTGGATATTCTTTGCTGCTTTGTCAAAGATGAATTGACAATAGAGTTGTGGGTCCATTTCTGAGTTTTTTTATTCTGTCCCATTGATCTATGTGACTGTTTTACCAGTACCATACTGTCTTGAGGAGTACAGCTTTGTAATACGGCTTGAAGTCTGGAATTGTGATGCCTCTATTTAAGTAGTATAGACATTTTAATAATATTTGTTCTTCCAATCCATGAGCGTGGAATGTTTTTCCATTTCTTTCTGTCCTCTTCAATTTCTTTCACAAGTGTTCTATAGTTTTCAGAGTACAGATTTTTTACCTCTTTTTTTAGGTTTATTCCTAGGTATCTTACAGTTTTTGGTGCAACTAAAAATGGGATTGATTGCTTGATTTCTTAAAGTGTGGTCACCAGCAGCACTAACATCACCAAGGAATTTGCTAGCAATGTTAAATCTCAGTCTGCATCTCATATTTACCGAAACAGAAACTAGAGGTATGAGATCAGCAGTTTAATTTTAACCAGAAAATTCTGATGCAACTAAAGTTTGAAAGCACTGGAATAGTTGAGGGTGATAGAATTTTAACAAAAGAGGTATTCTTTGGGCACCTTGGTAGCTCAGTTGGTTAAGTGTCAGACTCGATTTTGGCACAGGTCATGATCTCAAGGTTTTAAGATTGAGCTTCATGTCAGCTCTGTGCTGGGAGTGGAGACTGATTAAGATTCTCTCTCTTCCTTACCCTCTCCCTCTGCCTCTCTCCCTCCCTCCCTCCCTCTCTCCCTCTCTTTCTCTCTCTCTCTCTCTCTCTCTCTCTCAAAAAAAAAAAAAGGTAGTCTTGTGGTACATCCAATTTCTTAGGGTAACAAAAAAGACAAGATGGCATTCTGACAACTTTATTTTATCTCTCTGTCTTCATTTACTTAATCAAGAGACATCTACGTGCTTAAATACGGTTTAAAAGATGTTCTTTGATCCCTGATATTTTAGAACAGAGGTGGTAAGAACTATTATTTTACCAACTCAAAGATTCAAACCTTTCCTGTTTTATTGCAAATGTTTTTAGGCATATTTAAGCTGCCATATTTATTCTGAATATAATGATATAATTGTTATAAAATTGTTATATCATTATATAAATATAATGATAAAATTTTTATATAATGATAAATTGCAGCTTATTTTAATTCATTCCTTATAAATCAAATATTTAAAAATATTTAGTGATGAATTATGAAATTAATTATATTTTAAAATCTCTTATTAAAGAGTAATTAATAGCTTGAGATGAAATCACTGGTATTATCTTTAGACCACCAAAAGGAAACATGTACTAAAGAGTTTAGCAATTTGGGGCGCCTGGGTGGCTCAGTCGGTTAAGCATCCGACTTTAGCTCAGGTCATGATCTCACCGGTTGTGAGTTCGAGCCCCGCATCGGCTCTGTGCTGACAGCTCAGAGCCTGGAGCCTGCTTTGGATTCGGATTCTGTGTCTCTCTCTCTGCCCCTCCCCTGCTCATGCTCTCTCTCTCTCTCTCTCTCTCTCTCTCTCTCTCTCTCTCTCTCTGTCTCTCAATAATAAATAAATGCTAAAAAAAAATTTTTTTAAAGAGTTTAGCAATTTATAAAAAGCTATGCTTTAGATACTGTATCTTAAAAAAAAAAATGATACAAAGCAAAGGGGAAAAGAATATTAGACTAAGAATTTGAAGCCTGGAGATACTTTGGACTTTGCATTATCTAATGACCTTAGGGAATTTACCTGATCTCCTGAGTTATCCTTAGTTCATTTATAAAATGAGTGTGGACTTCTAGGCCTTTCTATATTGGAAGTGTTAGGGGTTTCAAAATACTTCCATTAGTACAGAGGTCAGTATGGCATTGCCTGGAGGTTATATTAATCGAGCTGTTTTTATTCCTTGTATCTCTGAGCTCTCTGTACTAAGTTTTGTTAATTTCTCTTTGTATATTGCCAGAACCTCATGTTCCTTACTAGGCAACTCACAAGACTGTTGCCTGTCTCCTGATTTAATACAGCTATTTTAATTCACTTTTCTCAGACTTCATAAAAACTTTTTCAAAGTGTAGATTTGAAGAAAATAAATCAAAATGCCCATTTAGTATCATTCTGAAAATAAATCCTAAGATTTCTCTGAGGGGTTTTCAAATGCCACTTTCTACTCAGCAATTAAAATTACAAGCAAGTTTTATTGCTTACAAAAGCTTCATTTAATTTATACAGCTATATTTGGTTTCTGAATTAATTATATGGGTGGTATTAAATTTTAAATCCATTACATTTTTATATGTAAATCACAATTCTGAGCCTTATTTGGGCATCTCTTTATTTTTAACCACCCTATCATATATGAACAAGAATTTGAAATATTTTAAATACTTTTGCTTAGGATGTCAGTGTTAACAGAGTTATTCTTGGCAGCTCCATTTTCTTTCCAACATAACTACTGTCAATCTTGTCTTTAGAATGAGACTCTTTTTAATATTGTGCCTGACTTGAATTAGCAGGATTTTTCTTATAAAGTTATTATTACAACATTTCTAGTTGTACCAAAAGTTATAGAGATGTGACTTAGGTGATTTTTAGATATTTCCATATTTATGATATCAACAGCAATGAATTTCAATACTCATATATTTCATGTAATTAACAAGGAAAGGCTTCTTATACTTAAGAAATAATAAAATCAGAACTGGATTTTTTGTTGTTGTTACATAGTGCAGGTAAGCTCATATTGGAATATACAATCCAACCAACTACTGAATTAATTGACTTAGGAGCTTTGTGACCATTAACATTCAATTAAGCATGAAGTTTTGACCATTTAAAAGCATATGGCTCAACCTGCTCTGTTAAATGTATTGTGCATTGGAAATAATATTATTCAGGTTAAAAGCTCAGACATTTCAGTAGTCATAGAAGTTTTAGATTAGAAGAATTCAATTCTCTGTATGTCACCTCTTAAAGTTACTTCTTTTTTTTTTTTTTTTTTTTTTAAATAAGGACACTGAAGACTTGAATGGTTAGGTGATTTACCCAAGGTTGTACAACCTGGAAGTGGCAGAAGCAACAGAATCAAGATCTGATTCTTTTTGTTTGCATTAAGTTTGTATTTAAATTCCAGTTAGTTAACATATAGTATTATATTAATTTCAGGTGTACAATATAGTGATTCAACAATTCCATGCATCACCCAGTGCTCATCATGACAAGTACATTCCTTAATCTCTATCATCTATCTTCCCATCTCCCTCCCCACCAACCCCACTTCTTCTCTGGTAAACATCAGTGGACTTTCTATAGTTAAGAGTCTATTTCAGGGCGCCTGAGTGGCTCAGTTGGTTAACCGTTGGGCTTCAGCTCAAGTCATGATTGTATTTGTCTTTCTCTGATTGACTTATTTCGTTTAGTATTATACTCTCTAGCTCCATCCATGTCATTGCAAATGGCATGATTTCATTCTTTTTCATGGCTGAATAATATTCCTGTGTTTGTGTGTGTTTGTGTGTGTGTATACATATACTACCTCTTTATCCATTCATCTATTGATGAACATTTGTACTGCTTCCATAATTTGGCTATTGTAAATAATGCTGCTATGAACATAGGGGCACATATATCCCTTTGAATTAGTGTTTTTGTATTATTTGTGTAAATATTCAGTAGTATGATTACTGGATCATAGGATAGTTCTATTTTTAACTGTCTGAAGAATCCCATGTGTTTTACATAGTGGTTGCACCAGTTTACATTACTGCCAACAGTACAAGAGACTTCCCCTTTTCCACCTCCTCTCATTGTTTCTTGTCTTACTGATTTTAGCCATTGTAAAGGTCTTCTGATTCTGATCTGGGAGATCTTTCTGCTGAAATGGGACAATAGCTTCTAAGTTAGGATGTCCTTGTTCCTGCATTGTTCTTATGTGGGTTTTCTGGGGGTGCCCATTAGGTATTTATTTTGGGCTTGTTCTATGCACAGCCATGTGTTAAGCACTGAGAGTATACCACTTAATGAAATAATGTGCCTGGAATTTAAACGTTATCTTTAAGAGTAACACTGATTGTTGCAATAAGATACTGGTTGTCATTTGTGTGAAACATTGGATTAGTGTGGGATTGTGGTTTAGGTCTGTGGGACACAATTTTTAAAAGGTGAAACTTTATTTCAAAACAGTGTTGAGAGATTCAGTACTGATTAGCCTATAGGGAATAAATAAGGACTAAAATAAGAGTATGAATTATATAACAAGCACATTGGTATGGATGAAGTTTTGGGTGATAGTGAGGTTTGTGGGGTCCAGACTCAATGATCAAGAAATAATTCTTGGAGACTTCTTTGGTGCAAAAAGGTGATTTTGTTAAAGCACAGGGGCAGGGCCTGTAGGCAGGAAGAGCTGCATTGGGGTTGTGATGGGTAACTGGTTATATACCATGGACTTGGGGGAGATAAATTCAAAAGGGACATTTTCAAAGGGACTTTCATATGCTAGAGACACAGATTACTGGAGGCCTAGCTTTTGTCAAGCTAGGGTTGTTTTTTCCTCTAGCAAAGCATTAACATTAAGACAGTAGGGAGTTCCTGGAGAAATGTTTTATTCTGCTTGCCACAGGTATTTATCAATGGGCTTCAGGTTATAAGGAAATTTAATTTTACCTGCCATTTACTTCTTGCTTTTGTTCCCCACATCACTATGGAGGGGAAATGTTGGGGCTCCAGGAAACTGAGTCTATAGGTTTCTGGAGATCAGCCTATTGAAGATTGCCTTTTTCTTGTAATTTACTAAGATATTTGTGAACTGATGGAGACCCATGTCCTTTAGGACTGTGATTTCTATCAGTTAACCATTTGTTTTTCTTTCCTTTCCTTTGTTTTTGGACAGCTAGGAGTGTCCAAGGAATCTCATACATGTCCCACCTGGTGGGAAGGGTGTTGTTAGCCTGTACTTTGCCCTTAGCTTGCCCCACGCTGCCTCATCAGTATTACACGCCATAACTTTGAGTCATGTCTGAAAAATCTATCTTAACAATGTAAGTTTGCTTTGCACTGAAGGACACAATTACAATAAAAAGTATAAAGCTTGTCCTTTATTTACTAAGAAATGTTATTCTAACTTCATCTCTTCTGTAGAATAGTATTAAAATTGAATCAATAATATAAATATATTGTACAAGTGAGACAAGTGATGAAATTTTGGAGTGATGGTGGGGTTCGGAGCTAATGGCCAAGAAAGAATTCTTGAAGACATCTTTTGCGTAAAAAGGTGATTTTGTTAAAGCACTCAGACAAGACCCCTGGGCTGGAAGAGCTGCAATGGGGGTTGTGGAGAGTGATTAATTATATATTATGGAGTTGAGGGAGGCAAAGACAAAGGGGGGGCTTTGACATGCTAAAGAAGACTCCTTAGATACCGGAGACCTTGCTATCGTCAAGCTAAAGTTGTTTTTCTTCTAGTAAGGCATATTAACATGTGGATGGTAGGGGCTTCCTGGAGGAATGTTACACTCTGTATTTGCCTCAAGTACTTGTCAATGTGCTGTAGGATATAAGGAAATTTAATTTTACCTGCCATTTTCTTTTTGCCTTTGTTCCCCACATCACTGTGGAGGGGAGAGGGATACTAGGGCACCAGAAAACTGAGTCTATAGGTTTCTGGAGATTAGGCCATTCAGAAGATTCCCTTTTTCTTGTAATTTACTAAGGTGTTTGTAAACTGATGGAGTCTCATGTCCTAAGTCCGTTCGAAATAAAGAGCTCTGATCATGGAAATTGGAGATTTGAAACAGTTAAAAGTTTTGTGTTAAAACAAATATATTTACAACCAATTATTACTTATCTACCATTTTTTTTCTCTCAATGTAGGTAACTTGGGATAACAGTTTATTGACAGTGCTCTATTAATGACATTTATTACCTTTCCATAAACACTATACTTTAATAATGATTTTTAAAACTTTATTACACTTGATTCAGTTAAAAGCTATAAAACTGATTCAATAGTAAGTAATTTAAAGCATTCTACAAGGAAGTATAAGATAAGATCTTTGTCAGTTGTCTTTTGAATATTAAATAGTTATATATGTGCAATCTTCATATGTATGGGGGATTGCAGAAATAAATAAAAGATAATTTACTTACAATTATGAACATTTGAAATCCCACTTACCTCTGGAATAAAATTATCACAGAAAAGAAAACAGATAGACACTTGAATTCTTTCTGAATCAAAATAAATTGTGCAACACACTATATTTTTAATTATAGTCCATGTAAACATAAGAATCCACATTGTGCCCACGGGAGACCAGAGTTGGAATTACACATTTGAAGTATTTAAAGGAACAAACATCACTTTTAATGCCATAATAATGTGAAACTATATTAAATTTATTATTTAAGTAAATGCTTTCTGACAGTTAAAATGATTGTAATCTGAATGATTTAGCTACTGGAAATACATGAACCAATTCATAGTATTTTGAAAATCAAGGGTGTTCACAAGTCAGATATAGAAAGAACATTATTTCATATGGAAAAAAATACTTTATCTATGAGAGTCTGGTTTCCATTATTTTTAAGAACTTGAAATTGTACTTTTCACTTATTAAAATATTCACTATCTCCAAAATTTGGAAAATGAAGCATTGTTTATATAAGAAATCAGAATCAGCTTACTTAACATACAGATTACACATTAGAAAGGGCAAAAATATGAAAATCTTCTGAAAATATTGGTATATCAATGATGCAAAGTTATAATGTCATGATCTTTGCTTTCTATTGCTTACATTTATGAAGGGAGAAAACAAATATCGTCAATTGAATTTTGAGGTAAAATACTTTAAGAGGTTAGGTGACATGCAAATCATTACTATAGTGTCTTAACCTTTAAACAGTCTAGAGTGGAATTTCAATAAAAATTCAACATATTACCATAAATGTCTTATTAGTTACCAAAGTATAATTATATATTTTCTATTCTCTATGTCTCTTTCTCTCTCTTTATCCCTCTTCTTGTAGTTCTTCTGGACTGTTGAACAGTTGTATGCATAAATCCTTGTAGCAAGTAATTACAGCTTTGGCTAACCCTTTAAAAGTGATACTCAATAGGGGCGCCTGGGTGGCGCAGTCGGTTAAGCGTCCGACTTCAGCCAGGTCACGATCTCGCGGTCCGTGAGTTCGAGCCCCGCGTCGGGCTCTGGGCTGATGGCTCAGAGCCTGGAGCCTGTTCCCGATTCTGTGTCTCCCTCTCTCTCTGCCCCTCGCCCGTTCATGCTCTGTCTCTCTCTGTCCCAAAAATAAATAAACGTTGAAAAAAAAATAAATAAAAGTGATACTCAATAAATCTCCATTTCTATACAATATTTTTTATTACAAAACATGTATATGAAGGTAAACAAGTTCACTTTTAAATTTTTTAATTTTATTTTTTTTTAATTGAGATACAATTGATATATATCATATTCATTTCAGGTCTACAACATAGTGACTCCAAATATGAATATATATTGCAAAATGATCACCACAATAAGTCCAATTAACTTTCATCACCACACATAGTTACTTTTTTCCTTGTGATGAGAATTTTTTCAGTCTAGTTCCTTTGTAACTTTCAAATATACAATAATATTAACTTTAGTCATCATGCTATATATTATATCCCTAGGACTTATTTTATAAGTGACCACCTTTTACCAATTTTGCCCACTCACCCCCTATCTCTGGCGATCACCAATCTGTTCCTTGTATCTATGATTTTTTTGTAGATTCCACAAATAAGTGAGATTATACAATATTTGTCTTTCTATATATCACTTTTTCACTTAGCATAATGCACTCAAGGTCCGTCTAAGTTGTTGCAAATTATAAGATTTTTTTTTTTTATGGCCGAATAACATATACACACACACACACACACACAAACACATATATCATCTTTTCTTTATCTATTTATCCACTGATGGACATTTAGGCTGTTTTCATGTTTTGGCCATTGTCAATATTACTGCAATGAACATGGCGGGGGTGCAGATATCTCTAGTTAATGTTTTTATTACCTTCAGATAAAAACCCAGAAGTGGAATTCTCGGATTGTATGCTAGTTCTATTTTTAATTTAGTGTTCATCACTTTATCACTTGCTAACTAGAGGTTCAACAAGGCTCCCAATGAGGAACACTAAAACCTAATTGATGAGAAGCGTCAATTGCTCCAGCCAGAAAACATATATACATACATACACACATACATACATACATACATAAAATATTTAAAAGTTTATTCAATTAAGGAAGTATAATCTTATTATCTGCTTGGTCTGGCATTTACAAAAATTGATCACGTGAAAAAAAAAGCAAGTTTGGAATTCTGAATATAATTAAGGAGCTGTCTTTAATTCACAACCTCCAACCAACTAAGGTTTTGGGGCTAAGATGAATGTTTGGCACTGAATAAAAAATCAGCTTTTCAGACATAGCTTTGCTGCATGAAGCTCCATATGGAGAAGGAATTGTATTTCTGCAAGTTACTATTATAAAATAAATCAAAATCTCTCCAGAACCTCAATATGTTTGAATGAATCCTTTTTAAGACTGAGATTAAATATAAATGTGCTGAGTGATTCATTCACTCATCTTTCATAGCTCCCAAATTTTTAACTGAATTAAGACTCACTTTAGTTAACTTTGTGTTTTTCATTTAATCTTGTATATTAAATGACAAAACTTTTCTTTAAGGAAATTTATTTAAAAGGTAATTATTTTAAAAATAACCTATTGGACTAAAAGTCCAATTAATAGCTCTTGAGATAAAAATAGAATTCATATTTTTAGGATTTAAACATGGGGCATTTGACTCTTTTTCTGATATGTTTAATGTCTAGAAAAATGCCTACAATTAATAAATGCTCAATTAATATTTCTTTTTTTTTAATTTTTTAACGTTTATTTATTTTTGAGACAGAGAGAGACAGAGCATGAACGGGGGAGGGTCAGAGACAGAGGGAGACACAGAGTCTGAAACAGGCTCCAGGCTCTGAGCTGTCAGCACAGAGCCCGACGTGGGACTCAAAATCATGGACCATGAGATCATGACCTGAGTGAAGTTGGACGATTAACTGACTGAGCCACCCAGGCGCCCCTCAATTAATATTTCTTAAAAATATTACTGATCTAAATCCTTCTCAGGCAATAAATTGTTGATTGTGTTTATTTGTTTCCTATTGCTAAAACTGCTTTTCTAACCAAATATACACTATTTGGCTAAAATAAAGGGCAAAAAGCAAAGTGAAAAATATATATCATAAGATAGAATGATAATGAAGTGAAAATAGTGCTGAGATTAACAGAAGACATCATAAAGACAAACTTTTGTTGTATATTGTTTCTATTTATTTATTTATTTATTTTTAAAGTTTATTTATTTATTTTGAGAGAGGAAGAGAGAGGGGGAGGGACAGAGAGAGAGAGAGACGGAGAGAGAGAAAGAGAACCCCAAGCAGGCTCAGTGCTGGAAGTGCAAAGCCCAACGGAGAGTTCCATCTCACCAACCCAACTGTGAGATCATGACCTGAGCCAAAATTAAGAGTTCCACGCTTAACTGACTGCGCCATCCAGGTCCCTCATATTGTTTTTATTTTTGTTTCTTTTTACTTTAGTTTTCGAGTTGTGAAACAATCGACTGAAGTGGAAAAAAAATCTATATCATGTCATTATTAATTTGTGCATTGTGTGTATAAGCACATGCGTGTGTATTTAGGTTGACAGAATGCAAACATAGCAGACTACTGATTTAGGCAATCTCCATTCATATAGATCAATATATCAGAGATGTGTTGACTTAGTGATCATATTTGGGACATGAATTTGCTCAAAAACAACCCACTAAGATAAACATTT